GTTTAGAGTTTCGTGTAACCCCGTTATACCCTCCCCGTTAAGATTTGACGTGCCGGTCACAACACGTCAATCCAAGCTTTGAGGAGTCCGTCAAACCTCCGAGAGAATTCTGCGCTCATTTCGACATGAGCGCTGCACAGCGAACACCAGTGTCATCGCCAGTGTCCGCGTCGACCGTAGCGTCGACGCCAGCACCCGTGCTAACTCCGCGCCAACCTCAGTGTCGACGCCTGTGGTTGATCCCGCGTCGGTACCTGCTTCTTCGCACGCGTCGGCGGTAACGCCGACACCTCTGGTTGGAACGACAGAGAAGAACTTCTCTGTCGACAAATACTAGGAGCTTCAGGAGAAGAAGCTCGAGCCCGAGGCGAAGCAGCGCGCTGGAGCTGCGAAGCCAGACAGTCCTAAGACTGTCTTCGATGGTTCATCGGTGCTCTCAACCGACGGTGGCATCCCCGTCGACTACGAGGATGGAGAACTTGAAGACGAGGTCACCTCATCTTCCCAGTCGCATTAGTCCAAGCCCGCGACTGGGAATCGTCGTCCTCGTGAAGACGATTCGGACGCTTCCTCGTCGAAGCGTCCGCGAAGTGCAAGTGATGCAGTGCCCTCCAGACCGGAAGCACTTGCCATCACCTCGGATCGTGATGCCACGCGCACTGATGACACAGTGCGCGAACCTTGGATGCCTTCCCAGAAGGTCATCGACGACCGGTATAAGGCTCAGGTATCTCCGAATGAGATACCGTTGTACGTCGACAGTCGAATTGTCGACGACGCTGAAGCTGCTGCAAAGCGCTTCGACAATTCGACGAACCGAAGGCGAGATTACTACATCTCGCTCATTCACGAGCTCCGGTACTGGAGCTCGAAGAAGACTCCTGGACGAAGCAGAGTGCCCGAATGGCAGGCACTCTGTCAAAGCTGGAACCAGTTTGTTGCGAACTTCAACAATGGTCCGGCAGCTTATCGCGAGCGGATTGCTTCCGCTCGTGAGCGTTTTATGAGGTTCTCCAAAACTTCTGTCGTCCAACGCGTTCACGAAGGTTCCGTGAACGCGAATATTCCTTGTGCAGTGCCGGAGGGCGTTCATTGCCCTCACTGTCCTCCTGGTGCTCCCCGCATCAGCGAAAGAGACCTCACCGGGTACACGACTAACCGTGTACCCGCAAATGTTAAGGAGCTACATGCTTGGACGCGTCAGCATCCTAGTGTTGTGACTGAGCACAACACCCGCGTAACACTGCACCCCGCAGTGTTACACCTCCAGTCCGTGGTGAGCTTCGTACGCCTTCACCATTTCCGGAACGTCCGTCATCAAGACGTTTCGGGGAAACCACGTAGACCTGATTGTCTCCAACGAATACGAAAACGAACCGGACCTCGGTTCGTC